GATAATAATAATTGGTGAATAATCGGTGGTACAGAAATATAAAAAATAAAACTTTTTATCCACGTAATTGAAAGAATTACTAATATATATTAACATGTAAATACTATTTTATGCACTATTACACTATCACCAACATTCTTTCTATTATAATAACATATCAAGTAATATGAATACCAATTGTGTCATTATTATCTAAAGAATATTTATGCATTGCAGTAACTTCTACTCCAAATGAGCATCTACAGCTAAACCTTGTCACAGCTGACTATAATTATAACATATTTTTAAAATTTTTGCTTCACATTCACATTAAAATATAAAAACATAAAAATCTTTATTCATCCGCTGTGACAAAGTTTGACTGTATTTAGTGAAGCTGGAAACACAATGACAGCTGAATGAATAAAATTGAATCTGTTGTTATTTGTATTTCTTAAAAAAAAATATGCAATGTATTGAAAATATTTTTCCTGAGGAATAAATAATTATTGTAAATCAATGAATATTCAATGGATATTTGGCAGATATTCGGTGAATGACCAATTATCCAGGTGTTGAGTTTTATTGACTCAAACACCCGGATAATCAACAGATACTACCACTAATACTAAGATTCTTATAATTTCCCAGCAATGATCTGCTCCGCGTTTTGATTCCAATTAATATATTTATAATAACCAAAAAAGACAATAAATATATATCAATACCAATTAAAACAGTACCTCTGGTCAGTTATTAACATGTCTTCTTGTCTTCTTTAGGAGAACCGCATTTTGTCATTGAAAAATAAGATTGTTTTTCCAAAAAAAATCAATTTGCGTCTGTTTGCCTAAAAAAATTGTGCAACATCAAGTGCCAATAATAAATAATGAAGCATAATGGACATTCGTTTATCACAATGTGATTTTGATTTCATTGGCTAAATTTTATGACGATCACCCTCCAAACAATCACACAAAAATCAAATTTTATTGGCTTGAAGATCTTTTACAAAAACAAAATTTTAAAGGTTGAAACTAAAAATAGTATTTTATTACCTTGAGTTGAATTTTATTAATAAAAAAGAGTATATATAAATTATAAATATTAATTTAAAATTATTACATAAAAATTATTTAATAAATATTATCTCTTTTACAACAATCAAAATTCCTATTATTATTAAAAAATGTCTCAAAATATAAATTATTGTCAAGTTTTGGATTGTGAGTCAAACAAAGATATCAGAACATTTACACCTGGTGCCAAAAAAAAATCTGAAGAAAAAGAGACACTAACTATGTATAATTATCTAAATATTGGTGATAAAATATGTCTTAAACATTATTTAATGATTGTAGAGCCAGACAGGAATGTTATAAAAAAAAAAATCAAATTTTTACCAAACTAATTTATCTGATTTATTAAAAAATAAAAATGATAATTCTTCAAATAATTTTGAAAATTGGTCAGATATAAAAGTTGATATGGCAAATGATAAACCAAATTTAACAAAAGATAATTTTGATCTTTTATTGCAGAAATATCTAATATGGAGTCAGAATTGAATGTTTATAGAAATAATCAAATTAGTAAATCTAATAAATTCAGTTATAAAATTAAAATTTTATCTGATTCTTTATTTTATCTTCAAAGGGATTTTAATTCAAATCTTGAATTAAATCCAGATAAATTTAAAATAATGATCGAAAAATATCAACCTATATTAATTGGATTTTTTGATGAATTAATTGAAATGTTTGTGCCAACTAATAGATCTGAATTTAATAAGGAGAATGCTAAAAAAAATGTTGTTGTATTTTGTTACTTGTTGGCTGGTTTGAGAAACAAGTTTATTAATTCTTTACAACTTGAAATTGGATTATACTTATCATCATCTGGAGCAACAGTTGAATCAATAGACATATTGTCAAAAATGGGTATATCAGTAAGTCACAAGACTGTAGAAAGATTTAAACAAAAAATTGAAACTGATCACCCTAATAAAATTAATGACTATTTATTATATAATGTAATTAATAATTTAATATATGTATATATTATTAAATATAATTTTTAAATATTACTAATACTTTTGTGTATTTATAGTCAGGAAAATTATTTTGTTTTAACTTGGATGATTGTCATTCAATTCACTCTTTCAGAGCACCAAATACTACAACATTATCAACTGCCCATCATATGGCAACATGCACAGTTAAAACTATTGAAGATAGTGAAAGGATATTAATCATTAATAATGGAGTTCATATAAATAACCCAAAAAATATAGAGGCCTTAAGAATTATAAAATACCTACACAATGAACATATTTATTAT